ACACACACACACACACACACACAGTTGAGTGTGATTTCTTTATTTTTATGTAGTCTGATTATTCACTTTGCATCACGGAAAAATTTTTTTTCTTCAGTGTTTTATAAAGCACACTACATAAATTGGCTTTTGTAATTAACACTGCCATTTCACAAAGGAGGAAACCAAAGAGGCGAAATTACTTTTATTTATTTGTTTGTTTATTTTTTGAGTTGGAGTCTCAGTCCGTCACCCAGGCTGGAGTGCACCACCCCAGAGTCCACCTGCTGGGCTCAGGCGATCCTTCTGCCTCAGCCTTCCAAGTAGCTGGAACTACAGGCACGTGCCACCATACCTGGCTAATTTTTTAAATTTGTTGTAGAGATGAGGGCTTGCCAAGTTGCCCAGGCTGGTCTCGAACCCGTGGGCTCAGGCAGTCCTCTGACCTCGGCCTCCCAAAGTGCTGCGATTACAGGCTTGAGCCACCGCGTCCGGTCGCCTAAATTACTTGCCAACTTGTAGGAGGGCCACACTTGCATGTCATAATTTCCTCATCTCCTGACACTCTACTTCTCTTCCCACCACACCTCAGGGTTCTTAGGCCGGGAGAACTTTCCCAGTCAACAGTCAACGTTGTCTTCCTCTTGACCAAAATGTGACTTTCAAAATAGAAAAGAATCGTGCCATCGTAGAGAACCAGGAAGGTCGGAGTCCCATTGAGTCCCCCATCTTTAGCTGTCACCAGCATAAAAGTCCATTAAGATGTCTGAGATGATGTGACTGGACAGGTCCCCGGAAATGCGGGAGAACTTCGGACTACAAGGGAGCCGGGGTATCTCCGCCCCGTCGCGTGGCGCTCTGGGGCCAGGCCCCCACGGACACCGCACTACCCCGCCCCGCACGCGGGGGCCAATCAGCGTGCAGGGGCGTTCTCAGGCCCGTGCCGCGGCGGCCCTCACGGGCGACAGAGGGCGCCAGGCGACCCGGAAGTGGTTGTTCTGGGGGAGGCGGGCCTGGGAAGGTGGAGCTTGCGGCGCTCACCCCCCGGGCTTGGGTTCTCCTTTCGTAACTCCGCCGGTTGCTGCATCTGCAGGAGAAGTGTGCTCGAGTCTTCTGGGAGCCGCACCGATGGCCTCCGTGCTGTCCTACGAAAGCCTGGTCCACGCCGTGGCTGGAGCCGTGGTGAGACGGCGTCTTCATGCCCGGGCCGCAGGGGGGTGTGGGACTTCTTTGGGGCAGGTCCCGGGATGTGGCTGGGGGATGGGTATGAGAGGGAGATCGTGTGGTTTGGAGTTTTCTGTCATGACAGTGAGTTAGAGAGGAATGGTCTTTGGCGGAAAGTTGCTGGAAGAATTTGGGCTGAGGGCCGACATTCCGCTACCGCTCTAGTCTCTTAGAGACTATCTGGGGTATAAAGAGCGGGGGTGACACACGCCCACAAGA